TCAGGAGGACTTTTGCTTCATGCTTACACAAAATGCCTCTGCGTGAAACTGTTGGCCTTCAGTCTCTCTTCTTAGGATTAGCTCATGGCAGTACAACCTCTGCAGCTCTACTGAACCCAGCTCCAGGCCTTTCTCCAAAGGCTGTGATGGCAAGGCAGTGGATATGACATTAAATAATTGGTGACATTGGGTCTGGCACAGCTGTCACCAGGATTTTTTGGGAGAAAAACCAGCAGGTGAGATGGAGTTATCTGTAGGGTTGTGAGTTGGACCTCACAGACAAAGGGGAGGTGAGAGTCCCTCTCCATCTATACGCACAGCAGGTCAGCAAACACTGCAGACAATTGTGAAATGCCCGTACACCCTATGGGAGATCTTAAGGCTCTGGGACTAGGACAGTCCTAGGGGGAAGGCTCAGTCAGTGCTCGTGAGGACCACGCACAACCACGCTGCTCACTAAACTCTTCTTTTACATTGTTGTTGCCTCATGGCAGCACCTGAGCATTTCTGTAGGTTTGCTTTATGTACAGCCTGATGCAGGGTGTGTGTTGGAGCACAGTCAGAAGAGAAGGAACGTTCCTGGTGGTTTGGTGTTCCCACTGCAGTCATCCCTTGTTACTGAGCTGGCTTGGCCCAGGGGCTCTTCTAGATGGAGTTTAAATTTGCCATCGCAATGGGCAGAAAAAGGCGCAGCAAATTACAGCTCAGGACAATTTAGGGTATTGTATTTTATTGCCTTCCTCGCAGTGTTTAGCAATAGAATTCTCTCTAGATATATATACTACTTGAAAGTTTGCAGGTTCTGAGGGGAGAGGAACAACTTGTACTCAATGGCCAAGTCAGTGTAGGTAAACTTCTAAGCATTCGGGTTGATAAATCTTGACCACCTATCTGCTGTAACTGGGTCTTATCTGCCCATTATGCAAAGCTGAATCCAGTGAACTTTGGAGTATTTGTACACAGCTTTGCAAGGAAGATGCAGGCAACAAGAGCGAAAAGACCAGCAGCACATTATTCCATCTTCTCCCTTACACAGTTTGAGAAGAGTTGAGTGAAAACCCAATTTGTTTTTCTTTATATGAAAAAAAACCAAACACTCTAGATGTTGAGCATACATACAAAGCTGTTGATCGCTGAGAAGGTGCTGCCGAGGTCAGGGTTGTGAAAGTGTGTAGGTAGAGGGGTGCTCAGAACAGAAATGAGAACATGACGGTACATGGGAACCATGCTGCAGAAGCGGAGTGGAAAAGGGCCACAGTGAAATCACAGCATGAATACTCTAGCTATAAATTTTTTTAGTTAAGGTTCCTATCATATACTTCTATTTTTAACACAGCTAAAATTAAACTCTGCAGTCAAGGCTGAGTGCTAGAAATTCTTTCTTCACTACTTCAGCATTGCCAGCATCTTTTTTGACAACTTTCTTCTCCTCTTCTGCAACCTCAGATGCGGGATACCTCAGCTACACAGGATAGTAAGTATCAGCTCTCCACCCTCAGGATTGACCTCCTAAAGGACTTCCCAGCAACGAGTAGATGAGATTGTCGTGACAGTGTCGAGTGTCAGCTTTTAATTTGTGAGCGTTTTCCCTGGTCCCTCTGTTTGTGGATGGTTACTGCTGAAAACCTGCATGAAACTGTCCTTAATTCACCCCACCGAACACCGTTGCACAGATGGCATCTGCAATTAGTAGATCAGGGAGCGCTGCCTTTGCTAAATAAGACTTGCAAGTTGGGGTCGAAGCCTCAATCTTAATTCTCGAGTTCCTAGCCTTGATACAACCACACTTAAAACAGCCTCCGGGTCTGCAAAATGTTCTGCCACCAAACACTTCATAGTCAGGCTCTGCCTTTTATCCCGTGGACCCACCGGTCCTAGGGCTTTTTTTATTTGTCCTTACAATAGCAGATACAATATTCCTTGAGGGTGCTGCTTCTGTCTTTTAACATGCTCCATCAACTACTGCTACGCGAATACAAACCAAAGCTGTTTTTGCACAGTACAGAATTCACTTGTGGAGTATTTAGAATTTGCCCTTAGCTCCATTTAGGACACAGAGGAAGGTGGTGGTTGTATTTAGGCTGCTGTATCAGTCCCTTGGCAGGCAAAAAGGGATCTGGTGTTTTGGTTGTACTGGTTCAATTAAAATGGTGTAAGGTGACTGATAAGCACCTCACTGCAGGCTGCCATGGGGGTCAATGTCAGCTGGCCCCACTGAGCTTTCTCAGCTCTCAGCCCTGGCCCTGCAGCTACCCTTGCTTTGAAGTCAGTAGCTGGTATCTCTACAAATGCTGAAAAGATTCATTGTCTTGATCTCATTTGACTCAAATTGCTTTTTTTCTATCAGAAGGAAATTTACACTTTGTGTGCATCTGGAAAAGATTTCTTTAAAAATTTTAGAAGTGGCTGTTTCATAATCTAGTGCAAAATTTATGGACTGTAGCTGCTCCTTCCCTTCCCTGGAAGGGGAAGAATATTACAATTAATAATCTTCAATTTTTATTCTTTCTTGTTATCTATTGTGTCTGGCAGGCGGAGGTGAAAATAGACTGAGATTTACAGTAAATCCATTTAAAGATCTAATGCTGTACTCAGGCAGAACTTGGCTTGTGATTTTTAACAGATTTTGTACCGTATTAGCAAAGGGTAATTACATAGGAAGAGTGTGGCTAAGACGAAGTAGCCACTAAAAAGATATTTACCAGCAGAAGCCATGTTACGGCAGTGGAGATCTTTTTTTAAAATACAGCCTCACTATTATTCTTCCAAATACATCGTTGTTTTGCTTTCTCTTTTTTTAAAAGACACCCACTGCAGCAAGGCACAGCAGAGTCAAGCTGTGCAACAAAAAGCGTTAAGCTTGGAGGACCACCTTTTGGAAACAATTGTGTTTTTCTCAGCTGGGTGAGGACCTTTAAATTAACATTCAAGATTTCATGCAGAAGCCCTTGTGCCTTTTCGTTTCTTGCTGCCATGGCAAGAGTTAAACAGAATTCCCAAATCTAAAATTTGCTGTATAATCTAAACCTTTATTGACGGAAGACTTCCCTGAAAACTCACACCACTGTAAGCAAAAATGGTACTTTTTTTGCTTATGACGTGAAAAGTTACAGTGAAAACCTTTGCGTGAAGGTGAGGTTACATGAAAATCCGGGGCGGGGGGTGTGTGGAAGGGGAAAGTGTTTGAGGGTTTGGGGGGAATTTTTAGAGATTTGGTGGTTTTGTGGTTTTTTTTTTTTTTGAAGGGTCATAGTTTTTGATTACAACCATGGTACTGCTTTTTGTCAGCTGTATAACTTTTGAATTGTAAAGTTATGTTTATGTGAATAATGGGTATAAATTTTATTCATTAAATGTATTTGAAAACCATTAAGGCTTTTTCCTTCTAGTTAAGAGTTTACACTTGAACCGTGAGCCAGCTGGTACAGAAATATCCTCCTGGAGACATCCATTAGCACTGCAACTCATGAGAACGAACTGCCATCAACCTACTTTGAACCAGTGCTGCAAGCACCACATTTGCAAAAGGTGACTGAAGTCCCAGGGCCGTACCTGCCACACTCCTGTGACAATGTCTGCCTTGCAGGCATCTCCTAAAGAACAATTCTGAAGAAGCATCTCTGAGGTCTGAGATATAAATGTGATCTTTAAAATGTATGGCTTAGCAGCCTCCAGAAGGGATTTAAGAACTTCAAACCCCTGGTACTAAATAGGATTTCTTTTCCTAATGAATGTAAATGTAATAGGTTGCCTCCAGTTGCACTTCCTGTTAATGGTCTGATCAACTGAAGGGGGTTGGGACTGGGACATTAACTCCAGGACCCTGGCTTTCAGCAGGTACTTAAAGCGAGGACCTGAAAAATGGAGGTGTAAAACACCAGCATACAACACTCCTTAGGATTAATAGGAACAGCCCCTGGAACCCAGCTGCCTCTTGCATGGTTTTGGTAAGCTAACAGCATGTTCTGTTCCTTCCACAACCTGGTGCAGCTCCAGGTGACAGCAGAAAGCCATGTGCCAGAGAAGCCTGCAGCCCTGGGCTTGGAACATTTGTAACACAGGGTCAAGTTCTCATCAGCAGACAAAAAAAACCCCAAAAAACCCAAAAAAACCCCAAACCAACCCCCAAGACACAGCGAATGGTCCCTTTACTGAGGTACTGCACAAGGAAAAGGCAGTACTTGTTTTCTGCAGGTTGTGCAGGGCCGGCAGCAGCGTGTCGGCTGTGCTGAACCTCACAGGCCAAAACGGGCTGTGAACCTCAGCAGGGCTCAGGCACGCATCTGCTAGGAACTCTTCAAAACTGAGAGAGCTGTGAGTAGGCAAAGCGGTTGTCTCCTCACCTTCTCCTTGTTATGTACCCAAACAATTTGACATAAGTTGAGATGTAGGCACTTACATCTGCTTGTGGCACTAGCCTCAGGCACTTACTTCAGCAGCGAGCAACTTCAGCTTTTCCCCATCCCTCAGAAAGCAGGAAGAATGACTGCAGTGGACATTTTTTCCCCTTCTGCCAGGCAGGAAGGCACACATGGTCTTCTTAATTACTGCTGGGTGTTTTAATCATTGTTACTAGTGTGCTCACTAACTTACAGTGAGTTGTTAGTGTGCACCACCAGATTCTGCATTCAAGATCTGTGAATTTCCCTTCTCACCAAAAGGCAGTTAGGAAAGTTGAGTTTACACTTTATTACAGAACTAACCAATACAGCTTCAGCTTTCCGCATACTCACAGACACCTCTGGGAACTTGTTTCCCATGGCTGTGCAGTCGGAGTGGCACACAGAAGGGAGGGAGATGCCAGTGACTGCATCATCCTGCTATTCTTTGGCTCATCTGCCTTTGGCTGACACATCCGGGGAAGGCTGGGATGTAATGCTGCTTGAAGGAAAACCAATAATCCTGATGATACACAAGGAGGCACCAAAGTTCATTTGCAGTGGACCAGACAGAACAAAGCATATGTTTTCAGTAGACACTTGGGCAGTTTTCTCTTGTGGCTACTCTGACAGCTTCTTCTCTAATAATTGCTTCACTAGAACAGGATTGGATCGTCCTTGTGTTTCTCGTTGTACCAGGCCAATTAACTTATTTAGAACTTTTCGATTTCCTGCTTTTATTGCCATAACCTTTAAAGAAAAAAAAAAAAAAGACACCACTGTTACAGTAAACCTGGACATTTTCACTTATCCACAGCCAAGGTATGAATATTTTTGTCCTTTGAACCACTGTGGTAGAATACTGTATTTTGGGCTAAAATGTTATTTATAAAAACTGCCTTCAGCTTTGCAATAAGCTCCTGCTCTGTTCCCATGAGACAACAGCATGTCCCTACAGCAGCAGGGCCTTACACTGATAAAGAAAGATCTCTTACTGAAAAAGTCAGAAAACACTTTTGGAGTTTAACAGTGTCTGCAACTTGTAATAGTGACTTCCTGGAAAAAAGCCAGAAAAATCAGACTGACTTCTTTTTGCTAATAGGATCTACTTTTTTACTCAATACACTGTTCAGTTACAGGAAGTCATTTGCTTCGAATCACAACCTCTTTGATAATATTTGTGTGGTCCTTCAAGTATAGATGGCGGTGTTTTTGTAACGGCATGTTATTTCCTTTAGGCAAGGAATCCTTTGCAATGTAGCAATTAATGAACTGATCAGAAACACGACCTCCTATCAGATAGCTCGTGTTTGATGCACAATCACCTGCAAAATAGCAAGGGCCATATTTACACTGAAAACAGAACCACTGGAAATTTCACTTTTGGGCTGTCGTATTATACAGATATAAAGGGACAGATTGTGAAGACACGAACCACCCACTGTGCCAATACCAAGCACAAATGCAAATGTTGCTACTTATTGGGGTATCCAAATTATTGTAGTCTAAAATCTTCTCTGTAATGTTACAACATGGCAAGGACTCATTACTCCTGATCTGCTAGAAATTACCTGTATGGGCAGAACACTGTACAATCCAGATACAGCATTTTCATAAAGTGCTCAGTGTTGGCTTGAGCAACTGTACATTAGTTCATTTTAAAGAAAGTTACTATCAAAAAGCAAGGCATCCTTTGATTTTCACCCATCAAGTGCTCAGCTAACTCTGTTTTGTAAGGTAAGCTCTCACAGCAGTTTAAAGCGATGAATTACAGGCCTTCAAGGCAGCTTTTGCCTTAGTGAAAGATCACTTGGAAATCCAAGTAAGGAAGTGAGGCCATTCTGCTGCATTTGGCTTGACTGAAACAGTGGAAAATGGAGAGGAATTACATTCTCTGAGAAAGCATTATTATTGAAATGGGAGCGTAGTTACGGACCTTGTTTCCGCACTTCCCAATCACTTCTAATGTTCTTTCTACCCACACTCATGCTTCTGTACCGGTCTGAAAATGCAGCAGCACTTTTATCAGGCTCTGCAAATGAGTCAGTCCAATGGAGGTCACTCGACCTCCCGCAAGCTCATTTTCTTTATCAAAAGCTCTTGCAGAGCTGTTAGCATCCCCCAATGAGATCTGGGGTGGGTGGCACTGTTCTCAAAAGATGTTAATGTTTTTTTTCCAAATGGCAAATGTATCGAGACAGTGTTTATATTAGAAGTAAGCTATTCACTTCTGCTCTTAGATTTTCGCTTCAGAGAACATAAGCACTTGTTTTCATTTTGTTTTTTATAAAGCAGCTTTTAGACTCTGTAAAGATCCTCTCCCGCTCCTCCCCTTCATGATCAACAAGGCTTTTTTTCCCTTTTTTCCAATATCCAGCTTCAGAACAGTTTAACAGTGTTGCCCTAATACCACAACAGATGACACGAAAATCAGTTACGTGGCTGCGTCGCATTAATGGCAGTACAGCTGGAGAGGGACAGGGCCCCACAGTTTTGCTTTCCTGCTTTAAATTTTTATTGTCTCTCAGAATGACCTAGTACGTTAGCTAAGGTAATTTCTTCTGCTGATCATTTTGTATATGCTTCAATTTAAAAAAAATACTTCGTAAAATAAGAAAGGAGAAGAAAAGCCTCATAATACCTGAGTAGCAGGTTTAATGCTCCTATACTGGCTCTAGGGCTCTAATGTCAATCAAAAAGGAAAAAAGAAAAGGCCATTTTAACCCCCTTTTTAGTGCCACAGACTGCCATAGTGCACGAGTTTTCCAGCACCATCATAATCACCTCATTTTCTTGTCCATCAATCACTGCCTGGCAGATCTGTTCAAGCTCTTCTTGATCCTGTATCAGTTCCAGTTTCTTTTCTTTAACAATTTCAAGAGGAGTCTTCCCTTCTCCCTTCCACAATTCCGCAAGAACCTGAAAATCACAATGGGCAGTGAAGGCCAATGTCTCACCATATCAGTGTTGTTCACGTGCAGCATTTCAGTTACTGATCCAAGCAGCTGGATTTTAGTTAAAGCAACAGCACACTGTCTAAATGCGAACAAACCCAAGATTTAATCCTGTGCCTCACTGAAAGAGCTCTTCTACCCTTCCTCTTTTTCTGCATCCTGCAGAAAAAGCCTTTTCACTCACTGCACGAGTGCAGGTTAATGGTTCGCAACTTGTGCTCTGCAGCCTCCTGCAGTATGGGGAGCTGCCCGCTGCTACTGCTGATGGTTCACGGAGCCCCTATGTGCCCCACTGCTCTGAGCCAGTTCTCCCTTGCTGGGAAAGGGGGGCACCACGGCAGAGACTGTCACCGACTGCAAGGCTGCTCCTCTGTGCTCGTCTCACATTATTCACAAGAACTGCCTGAGAGCAATAAGAAAATGCATTTCCATGAGCAATGTCCCTGCCCGAGAACTGACGATTAGCTGACTATTGTACCAAGTCCAATCCCAGGTAACTCATCCTGTTACCAGGCCTCATCAGCAAGCTGTAATGAGCGTACTTATGAAAAGCAGAAGAAAAATAGCGTTGAGCAGAATGAATGCAGCAGCTCCAGCGCACCTATATACCACACCTCCAACTATGGGATGCTGGGTGAGCCCAGGCCTCTGGAATAATCGCTTGTTAATGCCACTGATTTCTCCTGTGCTGCAGCAGGGCTATCGCCCTGGAATAAACTTGAGAGAAGAGAACATTTATAAAAAACCAATTTCCTTGGGCAGTCATTTTCTATATTCCCTTTGCTCTTTATTTCAGAGCTGTGGGAGGAGAGGAAGAAAACCTATATTAAAACAGCTGCTTGTGCTTCATCCTGAGCTGAAGATAACGTTTGGGCCACTGCTGTGTACCAATAGGGAAATAGATGTCACATCAGAATTTCAGCATTAAATGTTTGGGCCACTGCTGTATACCAATAGGGAATTAGATGTCACATCAGAATTTCAGCATTAAATACTAATGTAGGATGAAGAAGAGGCTGGGATGGGGAAGACCAGAAGAGGCATTCAAACTGCATGTTAAATAATTAGCAGGGCAGCAAGACAACTTAGGAAAAATGAAGCGTGTGGGATGGTATCTTAACTACCCCTTCACTGAAGCAATTTTCTTCAGCATGAAGATTTTTCTGATACAAAAGACCTTCAAGTTAAGCAATTTTGTAGCCCCAACAGGTATTTAAGAACCATGCGTTGATACAATTCCTGCAAGAGATTTGTTTGTCAGCAGTACCCCAAAGCTTTTTATGGGATCTTATCACTCTGCTGGAGACCTTGAGAGTGGGAAATGACACACAGCTGCATTGTGGCAGCTACATCTTGATTTTTCCCTGGAAGAGGGCTAAAGGCAGATCATATTATTAAAGTTACTGATAAGCAGCCAGAGTAACAACCGCTGTAAGTAAAGCTCTCAGCTGTTTATATCTAAATAAATCAGCACAGTATATGATGTCTTCTACAAGATCTTCCTTTTAGTGCAGTACTTAAAAATCATTGTGCCATGCTACCTGGAATACCCCTAGAAAGAAATACATCCATCAGAGATTCAACCTGTCTGCAGCCGCTCGCCTTTTTTTGTTTCACTCCATTGCTGCCCCAGGCAGCCCCCTCTCATTCCTCCCCTGAGGGACCAGGCAGGGAGCTTTCTGTCCCTGAGGCCTCCTGAGGCACCACGACAGCACGTCACCCCTCAGAAGTAGCCCTGTCCTCTTTGCGCAGCACAGCCCACAGCAAAACACCCTGGAGAGTCTGAAGCACTGCACAAATCAGGGGCTGGACAATGAATAAGCCATATCGCTCTCCCGGAAAAAGGCAGATGTGATTTTTACGACCAGTATGTATTCAAGCAGGATGCCATGGGCTGCAGGAGGGGAAAATCTGCAACAAACAAAATCTAAGCAGATGACTGTGGCAGAGTTACCCAGGAGCAACTCATACATCAGGCTGACTTAGATCAGGGGCAGGACAGCTTGACAGTCAGACATCCAGCTCTGATTCCCTTCTATTCCTGTGCCAACCATCTCCTGGCACTGAGAAAAGCTTGCCCGTTAGAAACCTTGAAGGCACCACATTTTCCCTGTGACATCTGCATCATGTGTACTTTTCAATTTGGGAGCAGGCGTCTCCACTTAGCTGGTAGAGCAACAACATTATCAAGGCCCTCACTTGTTTACAGGTATGTAGAAAAGCAGAAAGAGATGTGGCCAAGACCTGTCAAAGATGTACTTTTAAAAATGTGTTTCTCCACTTGGCAAGGAGCATGAATCTAAAGAAAGCAGTTTTAAAAATTATTTCAAGTCATTTACACAAACTGCCTGCACCAGAACAGGAAAATCAAATTATGAAGCCTCCAGAGCCAAAACGAGAATCTCAGGCATCATTTCCATTACTGAAATCTCAGGCATTTCTACTATTGATTCTAGCCTGAGCGTGATTAGATTTTAATGACGTTCTGCTGTCTCCACCTACATGGGCATAGCAGCAAAGTACTGGTCAAGATGAATTAATCAGGACTTGCACGTCTGGCTGCCACAGGCATCATATCAAACATTTTGCAACTGGTGAACGTGCCAGCTGACTGCTGTGCCTGAGAACGCTCCAACTGGAAAGCCTATCTGCAGCGATCTGCTGCCAAGGGTGGGAGGGAAGCAGCAGGCAGCACCACTCCAGCCAGTCCTGCGGGCACCTCTCCTTTCCAGCCATGGAAGCCTTGGTGTCTGGCAGTTGTCCCTCAGCCTCTGACAAAAGTGAGGGGCAGGCTGGATCCAGTCCTCCAGATAGCATAGCCATAATTGTCAAAGCAGATGGTTCTGTTTAGGTTTGTGTACAGTACTCATTTCCCTGCTCTCTACTTTAAATTAGGGGGGCCAAGTGGGTCTATTGAAGTTATTCCTACGTGAGTGACCTCTGCAATGGCAGAAACAAACACAACTTGGGGTCTGCTCTGCTCCATACGCAGCTACAGATCCTGCAAACGAGAGCCACGGCCCCATGTCTGGCATACTCCCCATCACACTGTTTCAGCTCTGGGTGAGCAGCAGCAGCACCACCCTCTGTGGACTTCAAACCAGTGTCTCTGGGGTGGGCCACAGCGGGTGCCTGTGCAGGTCCCCGGATCCAGCACACGCTCGCCCCACAGCCCTGCACACTGGCAGAGCTGGAAGCTGCTCCCCTCTGCACGGGCACGCCAGTCTGAAACTGCTGCGGAGACCTCTGGAGTAGGATGCTATGGTTGATGGTAAGTTGGGCGTGAGCTCTGTAATTACCCAAGTGGTAATTATGTAAGCACACAGTGCCCTTTCCTTGGCACACGCATCCCGCCCTACAATGTTCTGTGTCTATAATCAGTGCTTGCCACTTTTATCTGCCTGGGTTTTAGTGCCTTATACAGCAGAGACTGAACACAAAACCTCTTAAAAATTTAAACTGTTAACAGCTTCCCGCAGTGAGCATGTGTGTGTACGCATGTCTGTGTGCTCACCCCATCGAACTCCTCCATCCTTTCTCGTTGGATCTGTCTCTACTGCTGCAGTTCATTCTTCCCTACCCCAAGTGCTGCAATTCATCTGCTGTTGTAGATATATATATAGCCCTTTCTGCCCTCAGGCCATCCACTCTCTCTACCTACTGCTGAGAATTGTTATAAACATTTGTTATTCTTCTGACATCCAGGCAACCAAAATACTTTTCTAAATGTGGCAAGGTTTCTGCAGTTTGATAGCATCACTCAGTGATGGCAAACAGTACTGTTATTTCTCTGTGTCCAATTTCAGAACACAGAGGACAACATGCACATTACAAGGAGTTGGTAATTAAACAAGAAAAACATTTCTGAAATTCTTGACATTTCATAATCTGTCTGAAGTGCTGGTACACAAATATATCACCAGACAAAAAACTCATAGAAGAGCATTAGTACCCTGTCTCTACCTCTACAAGGAAGCTGAGAGTTAAGACTGGAGTTCTGAAGCTTCCCTTTCACAGGCAGAAACCAAACTGTTGGGTGTGCCATAACCCCACAGGCACACAAGCACTCTGCATTCCAATGCTCTTCCTATTAATACTTTATCTCCTTTTTAAAGCTTTTACGTTTCCAATCCAAAATTCCCCAATGCACATGCCTGAAGTCAGGCACTTAAATCTTTATTTATGATGCCTGTCATATGCAGCTGGCTATTCAGGGACGCAGATCAACAAGAAGACCAACTTAATTAAGAACTACAAGCACCTCCAAAAACAACCCCAAACCAGGAGCTTAAGTGTCTCCACGTAGGGTAAAGACCTACATTTGCAACAGTTGCACTTGGTTTATAATAATGCAAAAACTGAACTGACCTCAACACTATTCCAAAATTGTACTTGGACTAAATCAATATGTGCTAGAAAGATGGATACCCGCCCTGTGTATTTCAGTGTTAAAAGCTTGCAAGCAGACAAGGCAAGTTAAGTATCTCCATTAACAGCTTCACTGATGACCACCTGAGAAGAAACAGCCATCTCATGTACTTCTCTAGAGAATACTAGTTTGAAAAGACCATGCATTCCACATAAATGAGCCTGCAAGAATTTGAGGTGAACAACAGATTATTTCCTGTCACAAAAACACTCCAAGTTTTGTCTACAGACATACAGCAGCCACTTGTACCTGTCATAAGCAGTTCACAATTTTAGATACAAATCATCAAGAGCTGATTTTTCAGACTGTCCTAAGCAAGATGACATTTAAAAAGAAGGGAGAACTAGCTTTACCATCAGTACTGCCTTGAGAGGTCCATGACAACACTTGCTCAGAGACTTTTGACTCAGGGGTACACCGAAGCAGAACTCTTTTTGTGACTACACTCAGGTGAATTATATCGTTTTCCACATGCTAATCCTTGTGAATGTAGATCTTACTGTCCCTTAGTACCTAGTAACTGACACTGGCAGCTTAACTGCAAGTCATGGATTAGCTCCCATTGACCTTTCACTCAGGTCTGACTGGAACTGTGAAATTGAGATCTAGTGTCCAGTCCAGAGCCAGGATTTATTTAACTGACTTCAGTTCACACTGCTTAAACCTACTATTTGGCTTGTGCCCCCTTCTAACACTGAATATGCAGATGTAAGATCATATGCACAGGAGGCACTTTCATCTATTATACACATATAGTAGATACAAAATTTATCCTTCATCAACACTCTATTAAATAATTTCCTTTTAAAGCAATCCATGTACTGGTATACGCTGGTTATAAAATTGCTACGCGAATGGAGTAAGCAGCCACAGATTCAAAGTAGAGTAAAATCAAAAAGGTACTTACCTGCTTTGCTGCTGTAGAGGAAATTTCTTTTTTTTCTAGCAGGTTCAGAAGGTCAGCCAGGAGAAAAGAACTGACTGGGCTAGGGTAAAAGAGGGCAGAAGTTACCTCAGAGAATAAGGAGAGGTAATACTGCCTAGAGATCACACAGTTTAGCATGACAAGCTAGTATTTTTCCTCATGATACACTATATTCAACTTTGGTATTGATTATCTGATTATGCCTTACCATTGTCATATTCCTAAGAAGGAAGATTCTGATTACTCCTCTTTACACGGTCCTCCTCTCTGGAAGGTATTTGGTTAACTTCATTCAGCATGACAGTGTCAAGGCCTACGATGTACTGCCCAGCCTAACAAACTTCACAGATAATAACTAAAGCAGAAACGCACAATAGAGTGACACCATACTATTCATGGTAGATGAAAAAAGGATCCCTTTTGTTTCACAACTGTAGTAATCAAGAAGTCTGACCTTTCCTTTACTGTAAGGGAATGCTGTTTCAAATAACTGAGCAGGTCATTGAGAATCCAGCCGATCGCTTTATTTGGCTTCATCTGGGTCTGTTTTACCACATTTTCAAAGAATTCTGTTAATCCATCTTCATTCTGTTTAAGAAAAGTTAAATGCATTGAAAAGATACCAGAGTGCAAACCTGATTAATTATACAATTACACTTGGAGTATAAATACTCAATCCTAAAGTAAACTTGGTTTTGTGAATTCATTGTAAAGTCACAAGACTCTGGAGTAATTTTATTAAAATAATGGCAAACGAGCTATGTTATGTCTAGAATAGGTACACAGAGCTTATCTGCCAGCCTGTCTGTTTCAGTGGAACTTCCAATACAGGAGTCATCTTTTTTTCTTAACTCCTCCCTGAAATTAGCATTCGGGGAGAAGCTTTTTCCATCTCCTCGTGTGTTTCAAATACGTGTAATGCTAGAAAATATAATGCTGCCTTCTAACAGGCTGTCATCCTTTTCCCAAAAAGAGATTTTTTTTCTTGAAACTGTCTACAGATATTTCACTCTTGATCTTGCAGTCACTTCTATTTATTTTGGACTGAAGGAATAAGTTCAGCTTGCACTCACCCTTCAATGATATGGAAAGGTCATGCTGTAAGAAGCAAGGTTTTATTTTTCTAGTTTTTTCAGAGAAGCCATGTAAGCTTTTCCACAGCACCCTAACTGCTCAGAAGGTATGACAGTAGGGGATTCAATTTATAGCCCGAGTGAAATCTGAGATTGTTTTTAGAAGAACAGATACTGCACACTCTGTTGAATGCTGTGCTGTTTGTCATCAAGGCATTGATGGATCTTTAACTCTAGCACAGAACTCATTAGGTCTGCTGAAGGCTGAAGAGATATTAAGTAGCAGCTCCTACCTTTTCAAGGAGGAATCCAAATCCAGCATGCCACAGACTTCTGCAGTGTGTGGCACAAATGCAGGGGAGGACAAGCCAGCTCTCAGAAGTTGTGAGAGGTAACAGTTTAGAGGCAGCCAAGAAGCTATTCTAAGTATACTGTCATCACAGCCAAAACATTTTCTAAGCACATACTGACTGCAGCCAGATCTCTGAACAGTTCTGAGCAAAAAGAGTGCGGGTGTACACTAAACCAAAGCCTGACCTTTCCACTCAAACACATCCCATCAAAACAGCCTCATTTGCCCTTGTTTTTAAAGTTTATTTACCACCAGAGCAATCCAGAATTTTAGACCTTCCTCCTCAAAACTTTCACAAGACAAACTTCTAACAGCTCTAGGTACTATATTTTTCATTGGTAATGATTTATGGCTCTTGAGAAGACTGCAGACTACTGCTCTCTGTTCTGTGAAACAGAACAAAATGTACTCAGATTAATGGTTGATATGCTGTAAAACTCATGTGACAAAAATCAGACCTACCCTCTTCACCTCGAGACTATGAGCAAAGAAACCAAGTTCTCATCCTAGAAAAGCCACTGAAGTCTTGTGAAAAAAGGTAAATCTTGTAATTCTCCCTATTTATCTATCTAATACACACAGACATAATTCCCTTCTTTTCCAGTGTTCTTACAAATTTAACTAGCAGTTACTTTTTACTCAAACAATATAAAATTGAAGGCTAAACAGACTGTGAGGAACAAAATTGGCTTAAAAAAACAGTAAGGGAATGATGTGATTACTGAAGTACAGTAAACTTGATTAAAAACTGTGTGTGTGTTAAGTGGAATTACTAAAATGATGCATTACTAAATACTGTCCTCTTTCTCATTCACCCCAGGATTCATTAGCAAAAACAAACACTGATTATTTAAACAGCAGGTTCTCCTCCACAAAAACACCTGTCCAATTTAGGGAGGAAAAAGTGAGCACCTATAAATGCTGCTTTCTTTACACACCCTGTGGAAGGTTTTACAAACACTCCAGGCAGAGTAGGTCTACATACAATATTACGCACACAAAAACACGGTCTGTGGGTGCCACATGTCTGAATGCAGGCTATGCAACTCAGACACAGCATGTCCAGCACTTTGATCATGTATAGGCTAGACAGCATAGCTCTAGCAGCGGGCACATGCAGATTTCTGGATACCAACAGCCTGGATAGAGCTACAGCTCTGACCCTGCTGCCAGACCTTTGAAAAATCAAGGACAAACATACCCAGCTTCCACATTTTAATCTGATGATTGCCAGGCAGCAACGGGAGAAAAGCTCAGGAATACTCTGAGAGAGAGACTTACATATGCTGCCTGGTACCAAACTCCATACTCACTACTTGTGCACATAAAACCAGACACATTCCCAAAAATTCCTCTGCATTTTGTTTTAGGGGTTTTAAAGTGACTGTCATTTTCTGTAGCCAAAGAGTAGGAAAACTGAACAACGCTAGACTTAAATGAATAAGGCAGAATGTCAAAAACATCAAAATGACTGACAGAAATGAAACATTTTCCTTATTTTCTTGCCATATTAGAAAAACACAAGCATAACTTGATTAGCTTCAATTTCTAAATACTGTACTACTTGAACTCGACTTTAATCTGTTTTGCATTTTTGGTCAGCTTCATGCCAGATTCACTCCAACTGCCAACACACACACACCTCCCTGTCCCTTGTGATAGATCTGAGCTGAAAACCACTGCACGCTCTAATGTGCCAGTTTGCCAGAATGCTGACTGTTCTCCCTTGATTCTGAAAAAAGTCTTTTAATCTTCATAAAAGGAAAACCAGAAATCTGGAATTGCAGCACCATGTTTGTGATCCAGGCCCACTCGGTGCTCCCATTACATTCTGTAACCTATTCCTTAGAGTCTAACTGGCATGAAATCTGACATATCAATATTTCAACCAGATGCAAATTTTTTTCTTCAACAAGGTTTATAATGATCATTTAATAGTACTGAGATGTCAAAAGAAACCTAGTGGTGGAGTGATTCCAGATGCTTTTTAAACAAGTTTAAAACAATACATTATTTTACAAAATACCATGGGTACAATCTTCAGGGACATTGGGTTTGTAAAGCAAACTTACGCTTTTAAAGACCGATAATGCTTCCCAAAGAACTGAAGAAGAAAACTACATCAATGTTCACAAATAAAATGTCATTTTCTGCCTTCTTATTCCCATTTTCACCATCACAGTTCCACAATAACCAACTGTGAGGTAATCACTGCAGCAAAAATGTGCAAGATTATTGGGGAAAAAATGGAAAATCTAGCCTATTAAAGCAGGAAAGCAGAGTAGTCAAAACTTCAAACTTTTTCCTACAGCTTCTTATAAAATAAGGTCTAAAAATAAGCATAAAGTCACCTGCACACCAACAAGCGTGAGGACAGCATGTCATAAACAAAACGGCCAAAAACAACTTCTGCAGCATCCCACTTTTGACTGTTTGAAGGATTCACCAGTGTAATTGTCCCACCAAGGCAATAAGCCAAAGCCCAAGCGGAACTGCCACTTTTATTTGAGTAAGCAGACAAACAGTAGAAGTACAGAAAGACTTGGAATTCAGATGAGAAAGGAAGCGATCAGACTGTTTTGTTCGAATGTTGTACTGTGCCCACTGATGTCTTTTTTGGTTGGGCCTCCGCAGACTTCAGCATGCTTTTTGAAAACAAAAAGCCATGTTAATATCTATGCCAATACACCTTCTTTTTTTGACTCAATAGTAAGCAAGACAAAAATATTATAACTGGCAAAGTTGTCAGAGATCCTTCATGACTGGAGTATTTGCCAGCCTACCAGTTTACAGAGCAAAGTAGTAATTGCATGCAGAAACCGAGTACCCAAATACCATGCAGTCTACATGGCTCAAGGAATTGTATCTTTACGAATAAGAAGCGTTCTGCACAAAAAAAAAATAATCAGCAACTCAATGTATTTTTGCAATTTATAAAAAACTGTCAAAAATGCAGCAGCTTACAGATATAAAGATACTAATTAGTAATGCTCTCCTTCCATTTCAGCACGTCTTGTAATTAGGCAAAGCAGGAGTCTCAGATTCTCAACACTGCAGTACGTACAGGTAGCTATTGTACACAAGAATAAAGCTCATGAAGCTCAGAAACTAACTTGCATGCTGGACTATGGTATTGTTTTATTGTAACTTTGGCACTTAATGTTTTCTCTAACAAGTTGGCGCAGAACAGAGATTCTGCATTTTAGAGCCATCCCTCTACCACTGCCATTTATTTAATGAGCACTCCTGGGCGCTCTAACCTGAAAGAATGCTCATTAGATTTGTGCATGTGGCCCTATCAGCAATCTTCTGCAGCTTCTGATGTAAGCTTAACACAGCCATGGACATACCATCTTCAGATGAATTAAGGTTAACTAGTCTCCCAGTGAACAGACAAGCAACTTTTATGGAGAGTATACATGCTGACATTATAATGCACAATAAAAGAAGACCTGCAATGAAGGTATACATGCTGACATTATAATGCACAATAAAAGAAGACCTGCAATGAAGAACGCATTCACTTCATGCATTCAAATGGATGCATTGTCTTATTACAAGCTAAATCCTGAATTTCAGCTTGGAGCTCATTAATTGTCTTATAAGTTGTAAAAAGGAAAAAAAGTTAAAAAGGAAAAAGCAAAGGCAATAGTGGATTTCAGAGAACAGGTGGAAAGAAAGGGCAGTTGATGAGGCAAATATATAGGGCTTGCTGATAGAGACGACAGAGACCACCCAGCAGAAGCCATCAATACTAGCAAAACTGAAACATTCAAGAAGTGGGTTGATACCAGGTGAAAGGAGTGGGTGTACTGGGTCTGTCTGGGATGGAGTTTATTTTCTTCAGAGCAGCCTGTAGGGTGCTGTGTTTTGGATTTGTGACTAAACCAGCGCTGACAACACACAGGTGTTTTGGCTACTGCTGAGCAGTACTTTCTCTTTTTCCCACTCTTCCCCCCACAGTGAGTAGGCTGAGGGTTGGCACGGAGCTGGGTGGGGACACAACCTGGACAGCTAACCCAGATTGACCATTCCATGCCATTAACAGCCTGCTCAACAAGGAGAACTAAGAGAAGGGGATCACATTTTGCAGCTTATACAATGAAAGGCAAGAACTACTGACACCTCTTGATATTATCACTGCAGCCTCGTGACTTTGATAAGACTTATTACTCGCCTGCCCGCCAAACAGTAATAAGATCTGGAACTCACTAAAATGGCACACCACCACAAAAGCAGTTTTCCTAATGTTCTTCAGAAGAATGAACCACTTTTATTTTTTTTTTAATAGAATCAGTTTCTGTACAGGTGTATCAAATTACAGATACACAAAGGAGGGATACTAGGTAGTTAAGTTATGTGCACTGCTCTCCCTTCACTTATAGTCAAAGGAAAGGAACTCCTCCAGAGGACAATTTAAAGTACTTATGGCTCCACTCTGAATCTTACTCTAAAGAAGTCCTTTTTCTCCTGTCTCCACTAATCACAGAGGTAACCAAAGCAGGACACTGTCGTAGCTTAGCTGGCTCTGTGAAATGTCTGATCTTGGGTGGGTATACTTACCCCCCCCAGAGTTATCACTGGCAAACATAGATGATGCATTTTGGGTTCAAGAAACTGAGAGTCCTTTAGAATAATTTTGGAAGTTATGAGATTTTTCTGTCACTTCCTTATTTATATCAATATTTGCCACATTCTTTTTTTTTCTCATCCCCTCTTCTGATAAACTGCACTGTGAGGTCAAAGTTGATGTTGTACGGCCATTTGAAGTATTCACTCAAGAGTAAGTCTGTTTTTGTTTTCTTTTTTTTTTTTTTCCAGAATAAGATGGAAGCTAGATCAACAGGCATGTGAAGCTGAAAGGTTTAAACTTTGGGTCTTGCATCTGCAGTCAAGAAAATACATCTATTAATTTGTTAAATACTGACAATGCGCCCAGCCTGGTACCAGACCCAAAGACGAGGAGCAGGCGCTGGCAGGGTTTGTCAGCAGGAGGCTGTACATTTGTTGCAGGGCATTCATGTGTAGGTAGACAAGATCAATATTAAATAATAGTTATTTGACTACACCTTTCATGAGAAACACTTCTAGGCACATTGCTTATGGTTTCTTTTGCCCATCGTTCCAGGTATATGGCTCCAGGGCGCAAAGTACGCATTAGACATATCTCCAAATAAAAAACATCCATGAGAACTGACAGCTGGTTAATATTATATTTGTAAAACTTTTTAAAAAACTGTGCAACTTTGAAGTTTCTAGGCTTATTTTAGCACTTGATCAATAGACCTACCATTAAGGTGAAGCTGTGTTCAGGAAGAATCCCATACTGTTCAACAAGCTTTGCTCTCTTCACACTGGGGAGGTCAGGAAGTCTCTCATGAATCCAGTCAATATTAACCGCTTGCTGATGGTTCATATTAGCCGGCAAAGATTTTGCATTGTACAGAATCAATGGAGGAAGGTTTGGCTCTGGCATGAACCTTAGCAAAAAGGAAGAAAAACGCCTTTACAATTGTCGTGGTTTAACCCCAGTTGACAACAAGCACCACACAGCTGCTTGCTCACTCCCCCCTGTTGGGATGAGGGAGAGAATTGGAAGCATAAAAGTGAGAAAACTTGTGGGTTGAAATACAGCCAGCTTAATAAGTAGAACAAAAGCCGTGCATGCAAACAAAGCAAAATAAGGAATTAATTTCCTACTTCTCATTGGCAGGCAGGTGCTCAGCCATTCCATTCGGCATCAAGCATGAACTGCGGATCTGGTCAAAACCAGAAGCAGACTGTCAGGGAAAAACACAGATTGACAGCCAGCTGCCAGGAGAGATCTGGGCAGGTTGTAACCTTTTCCAGACTAACTTCAAAAATTTTTGTGAAATCTCATGCTGTGCTAAAAGCAAAGTTACTGTGCTCAACAGGGTGCCATCACAGAACAAAAGGTTCCCTTAAAGAGAAGGCCAATTCAAACCACTCAAATAACTGTGACAGAAACAGGAACTGTACTCTTACATGATGAAATGAGGGGTTCAAAAATATCAGAATAAAAGACATTGGGCACCCTCTACATTTACTATAAGAATTTCTATTTCAAATCTGCCTAAACATAGATTTTAAGTTTCATGTATAATGTCAAGCAGTAAGTTACAAAAAGTCTGAAAACCACAGTTTAATACTGATTATAACCTTAGCACTAGTAATAATCTTTCTGGTCATTATTTGAAATACCTTAGACTCACCAGTTTTGCCTACGTTTTAATGAAGTTTCTTTTGCATTTGCTCAACTTCGTCTTGTTAAATAAACCTCATGCCAGCCCCTACCACAGTAAGGAATTCACAAAATGATCACTGCTTTTTCTGCTGCATTTCTACAAACAATAAATTAAAAAGCAGATTTAAATTTAAAGTTTGTGGGATGTTTTTGAAATCCTTGCTCTACTCTAGTAACATCAGGGGTAGAATACACGTAGATTTAACAGGAACACAGATATGGCAAAGCTAAGAGGCTCTGAAAGTTCTCCTGCAGAACTACAATTCTCCAGCTGGGAAGTGAACTCCAGGTGTAACAGGAAGACTGCCTCTGGGATGCAAAGCTAGGGAACCACCGGGAGGATCAGCATTAAGATGGCTCTAAGCAGGGGAAGGCAGGCATGCACAGAGCAGGAGAAGGGGTGCCCAGAGCAATCAGCAATAACTGAGCTGCATCACTCTTCCCCATCCTATCCAGACACCACTGTGACTGCCTCCCATGCTAGGGCACTAAGCAGCTGTGCTGCTGCTTTGCCACGCTGCCCCTCCACGTGCTCCCAGGAGCATTGCTTCCCAAAAAGACTCATGCTTTGTCCCTGCCTCCTCTGGCTAAATCCTTCTTGGGTGGCTGTTTATGGTTTGATGGCTGTCATCTCACACTAGTAGAAAGCAAGAAGTACTTAGCAAAGTAACATCTTCATTAGGTCTACAAAGATCTTAAGGTAGAAACCCGCCGATGAATGCTGACACCTTCCAATAGCAGTTCGGATTTTCAAACAGTGATTGCGATCTATGATCGCAGAATTTAAGGACAGAGAGGCTGGGCCTGATATCTGAAAATCATTTTCCTCAGTATGGACTTAAAGCAGGAGCAATGCTTAATTCAGAATATTCTTATGTTCTATGTCAATCCTTCCTAATAGAACACTTGTACTGGCCACAAAGTAAACCTTGCTCTACTTACCCACTTTGAGTTAAGGTACTCCATCTTAATTTTTGGGAAAGGTCTATGGGTTTTAGCAGAGGTGAGACACAGTTCTAAATCTGAACTGCTCAGACGAGCACTGATTTTGACAGGTCTCTTCCCCTTCCAGTAGAAGGTAAACTTCCAAACATGCTCACTACACCGGCTAACTTTACATGCCCATTACACTGACTACACTTAAGAAATGAAGTAAATTCTCAGTTCTTGAAATGTTAGCTTAAAAAAAAAAATACCGATAATCCTGTTTTCCTTCTTTGTCTCTCATTGGTATAGTGCACCTAAAATAAAAAGAAAACAAGTAAGATGTGGTAAGAGGTACACCACAGAATTAGTTTTATGGCAAAAACACAAAGCAAAACTCATGAAGATCGGGAGAGCTTCTGAAAGCCACTTCAAAGAATGTGTGTATGTAACAGTGCATTAATTTTCACACAGAGGCTGCTCAATGTAGCATACGACCTGTTGTGAAAAAGCCTCAACTTAAAGAACAAATTACTACCTGTGAGGAGACCATGCTTGGGAACACTAGCTTTGGAAGCCAGAAGCTAAGCAATACTCTGCTACTCTCCTGATCATGTCACTAGGTATCCTGATGTTCTTCCAAAAATAAAAACTCACCCAAGTTTGGAATCAAAAGCTCTTGTTTCATTCAAAATTGTTCCTCCATTTTCGAGTTCTTCAATTTGCCTCTGTATTTCATAGTCTGACAGAAACAAAGTAAAAAAGTGTGAGCTTTTTATACCGCACTATTAGCTTTTGTACACTCCACTATCTCATTTTTCACTGCTATGCAACAATGGAATAATTTGTTGTTTAAACCTTAATGAAATAAACAGCAGCAGTTACAGGCAGAATTATCAGTCAATGTCTTTCCCTCCAGCACTGCTTCTTTCTTTGTGTTTTCCTCATCTTCTTTCATTCCCTTTAAATAGAAGGCACCTTCTCCCAGGCACTGCAGCCAAGCCATACATTCCTAGTGACCTCCCAACCACCCAGTTGAGTTCTCTTTCGGAGATGGAGTAATCATCCTTTCTTGCTCACACCCAAGCTGTATCTGAACTTCATACACACCACCTACCATACCTCAGTGGAAAGCAATCACCTACGCTGGGGGACTCAAAGCTACTGCAAACGCATTTCAGTACTAAACATGCTAGGCATTGAATCATCTGCTTTATTCTTCATGTAGCCAGAGGGTTACCTCTGCAAGAAAACTTCAGACTAACATGGCTGCTATCCCTAGAGTACCCCAAACTAAGATTTATTCTGTCAGGGAGCAGCAAGAGCAGGGCTGCTCCACAAGAAGGGATAAGCCAGGAGCTGAGGGTGATCACAGCACAGGCAATGCCCACCCTGTCTGGTGCAGTCCCACTAGTCTGAACAGCATGGACCAGAGGCATGTGTCACTAACAGGGTCCACTGACAGTCTCAGTCAAGGTGAGGGGATGAGCTGGCTCCACGGTACATCCAGAGAGTTCAGTCAGAAGCAGGAGGAGCTAAGTCCAGAGGCAGGACTGGGAACAAGACTGCAGAACAGGTCCAAAAATCCATCAGGAGATAGGACTGAAAACTGGCACACCTGTGATGTGGCTCAGGCAAAGTCTGAAGGGCCCAGCCTGAGCTTAAATGTGTCTCCTGGACCCACAGGCAAGGTGCGTGGAAGGGACACAGAGGTGAAGGTAGTCAGGGCATTTAAGGCCAATTACTGCACTCAGGAGCCTGACATATTTCATGTCAGGCCACACGAAATATCTACAATGCTCTTACAATGAAGCAACCATCATTTACCTACTGCTTTTGCCAGGAATCGTATGCTATTGATGTTCTTCACTTCAGTCCTCACTCCATAAGGCTCTCCAGGGCGATGCACAGAAACATTGGCATCCACTCTCAGCTGACCCTCTGTAAAAGGAAATTTTATCAACAGAATAGTCTGACCTGTAAACTAGAGTAAAATCCTCAGCATGCATTAATAAACTGCATGTTATGTGCAGAGCATTAATAGCAGACTTCCATATGTTCAGCAAGTAATAATAACCACCTGATCACGGCTTTCTGTTTGTGATTCCATTTCAAGCCACTGCCTCAAATCATTCAAAATTTTCCAAAAACACTACTTGTTTTTAAAAATTATTGCTCATAATTCCTCTCAGAGAAAACTGCACGGTGCAGTGTGCAGGGCAGACCCTCTAAGCCATATAGTGAAAAAAGCTTCTGATTCACAGCTTTTAAATAAAGGGCAGAATTAGACAAGCAGTTTGAAGTTGTGGATTGTGAGCTTCCATTCCTCTGAAAACAGCATAAAAATACCTTTTGGAATTACAATTTGATGGATGTGTATTACCCTACATGGAACACAAGAACTTACAGTTACCTTGAACAGATTTACTAAGGTGTTCTTGGGAATTTACAGCTCAAGGACAAAATGTGAGAAGTGGTGGAATTTTTTGCAATTTTCTTCCTGTCCTTCAAGAAACTACAATCTTTGCAATCTCCCC